ATGGTGCAGCCTCCGACGCACAGTAATTGTTTGAACACACAATGAGGAGTGTTGGATCGGTCTGAGATAGATTTGTGAGCTGTTTTTAAAGATCTCCTTGGCCACAGGGAGGGAGGGAAGTCAGGAAGAGACAAATAATTGCATTTTTGGTCTTCTCATGATATTTATTGGAAATAAAGACAAAAACAACCTTTTAGTCAGTGGAGTATACTTCCACTGCCCACTCACTGCACATGTGTTTGTTATTCCTAAGAAAAAAGAATATTTAGATTTAATTAACTGCAGTGAATAAATTCAAAATAATTAATTTATAATGTAGGTGATTATACTCAATTATACATCATGGATACGTCAAATGTAATTAGTTTTATTAGTACTATTAATATAGAGGATAGTTTTGTTTACGTTTTAATTAATTCTTTTTTTGTTTTCTCTTAAATTAAATAGGTAACTACAAAGTGTCGGATTTAATTTTTATTTCCTCAATACCAAACATAGTTATATTTAATTAATAATATTGCTTTTAATCTGTTGCCTTCATTTTATTGAGTATATATCGTGTCTCTTTTCTTACCACGCTCTCCAACACCAGACAATTGGCAGGTTATCTTGCTTGTCCACATGCCATGATCAATGTGTGTGTGTGTGTGTGTGTGTGTGTGTGTGTGTGTGTGTGTGTGTGTGTGTGTGTGTGTGGCTGAGGATTAAAGCCAGCTGTCCTGTCCGAGTGTTTTGTCGAAGATTTCTTGTTGCAGTTTCTCCAGAAAGGCTGTTTGTTGGCTTAATAAATCTGGTAGTTTCTAACTAAAGCTCTCCCCACCCACAACAAAGTAAGTGTGAAGTCAGCATTCTCTGTTTCGACGCCTGCCAAGAGTTTCAGATATTTTAGGGCCAAAAAAACGGAGTAGAAGTGCTTTTACTCAGCCTGCATCCATTTATTCTAAAACAAGAAGTAATTAAGTGAACTAGGAGGTGTTTTAAGGCGATATGATGATATATGTATATAATCCCTTTAAGATATTTAGGTGGATGAGGCCATTGTGGCCAATGTTAGATATAAATAATGACTGTTTTATAGCAAATTGGGATTTTTATATGGTTTTGCATCAATTTGATGAACCTCTTTGATGGTATTTACTCTGCTGAATTAACCAACATACATTTATATTGGGTTATTAAATCTATTAATCCATTAAATGGATATTGTAAATCTAAAATTTAATATATCGCCCACTGTAGGCTGACCTGGTCTGAGAGTGTGTTGGTGTCTGGAAAATACTTTAATTTAAATACCAGACAAGATATTCTTTGTTGGTGTTTTACCAGTGTTAATACCTGAACTCCTACGCAGCACCGACTACTGGTTACTGAAACCTGTCTAAGATGCTGCTGCAGGCAGTGAATGAGACCACAGATGTCTGTGGGTTGAGTTCAAGGTTTAACCGTTTGAGTTCAGACAACCAGTGCTCTAGGAAGTTCTAGAAAAAGTGCTATTAGTTTGCTTTAAATAGAGACACATTGCAGAGGAGCATCTTGTACACTTAGCTGGACGATCAGGTAATTGGATTGTCTGGCTTTAGCTCTGGTCACAATGAAATAACAAGGACACGTGTCCATGGATGACTCCTGATAGGCCAGGAGGCAGGTCTAGCCCACAGGATGTTTCCTGTTACCTTTCTTTCAATATTATTTCACCTATACGTGGTTGATAATGAGAACCCCCAACTCGGGCACTTTTTCTGGCGAAATGATCTAAATGCAAATAATAAAAGTACAATTGCATTAACAGTTATACAAGTATGAAAATTGGCAGGCAGTACCCTGAAAGAGAAAGAAAAGAAGTTCTCATCAGAAATGATTATTTTCTAAAACTTTATGGTGAATATCACCACCTCACTTTCATATAGAAAACTTCCCACAGTCATAAGCTTCTAGATTAACTTTCTATCTTGAAAATGAATCTTGCTGTGGCCAAACTCATTCACTATACCTCAAGTCAGAGAAAATAGTATTTCCACACACTAGCCTTCCAAATGGGGGTAAGCATATTTCTTACATCTAACAATATGTTCATGTAATGTCCAAACCGATACACTCAAGTTACAGTACAATACAGATTACCATGACTATCATATTATCAAGTGTTAATAGTTATGCATATTGAAAATAAATGTGCACTTAAGTACTTATTATTGAATAAGGGATTTAGATAAACACTACAATAAACGGGATAAACAGCAAAAGAAAAAGCCAAAAACAGGGAGCATGACATTTTAACACCTTTTAAAATTAACAATCTTTTCCATTATTGACATACCCAAATAAGTTTTTAACAGCATAACTGTAACCAGAATGCATGTATGATGACTCATTTGAGAGGCAGCATGCTCTAGTGTGTAAAAATATGCTCATTTAGTATGGTGCCAAAACACAACCCACACTATGTCAGCTTCAACATAACCTATTGGCTTATTGGTCTGTTGGCCTACTTCAGCCTAGAAGTCAGGACATTTCTATGATTATTATTGAGGCTACAGGGTGTCTGTCTACACTGCTGAACTGGATTTTCAGATCAGAAAAGAACGAGGCTTCATACTAAAACATAATTGCATTTACTTATGAAACAGTGGGAAATAAAGACCTGTCTCTTATATGAGCCTGCTTCAAAATAAAGGCCTGGTCCACTCTGTCGTTATCTTATGTTATTTTAGAGAGAATGTGTGTATCTAGATATATAATGTATATCGCAGCATAGCCCAAACATTATATTATTATCATAAATATTATTTCTAATCAAACAAGGCCTTCTTGATTTTCAGGGGTGTAAGAAAAATTTAAAAATATACTCAGTAGGCATATATTTTTTTTTTCATTTCTGTGAAGAAAACTAAAATGAAATTGTTATTTTTAAAACTTGGATTATTATTAAAGATATAAAGTCTGAAGAAATGAACACAAGCTATACTCACAGAGCCTTCAACAGCCTCGTCTTGCTTTAGAAAAGTACGCAGTTAAAACAACCAAAGAACTAATAGAACAATGAGAAGATAACACTTAATTTGTCAAATACATTATTAAGAAAAGAATACAGACAAAGAATTCGATAAAAGTTCTTAAAAATATCAATAAAACTCATCCCTGATGCAATATTCATGGCATTATTAAATAGACTGACTTCAAACGTTCCTGCTGTGAACTAGATCATTCTCGTCTGTCTCCCCTTCAGCTAAGACATCGATGAGGTGGTCGTTGGCACTTCGATTTTTCAGAGCGGACATGAAACCCGTGGTCAAGAGAGGATGTGTTCTTGAGCTCTTTTTCAGATGCATACTTTGAAGTTGACTCTCTTGAGGTTGAAAGATCAATAGAGAGACCTGGTCGAAGCTTGAGGCATCGAGACGCAAATCTTCTTGCCCTTAATCTCTCTCACCTCATCAATTTGTTTTACTCGAGGACCGAAGCCTTAGAGGGCAACAGCTGAACTCACAAGCTCATCAAATGCAGCAAAGATTGCGAGAACTTTGAATCCTGATCCTTGATCGGTCACACATTGTGCTGGCCTCACATGCCTTTACATGTGCCGACTGAAGTTTAGCATTTAAAGTAGATATATATCAAATATATTCATATATTGGAACGTCAGTAGTGTTGATATGAGCCGTTTTTTTTATCAACAGAGGGAACAGAGACTCTTCTACGCTGTCCACCATGTTTAAACACTGTGTTCCTACAGTAGCCCAGAACAGACAAACCAAACACTGGCTGCAGATTTGACACTGTAGGTTCTCCTATGCAAAAGGTGGGGTGTCGTGAGGGGTATTCAGTTGATTGCAATCTGCAGCTTCACCACTGGATGCTAGTAAATTCTACACACTGGACCTTTAAGACCTCCTAATACTTCACTAGCTGTTCGACTGTAAGTTCTGCAGGCTAAACTTTATTAAGGTAGAAGTATGTAAGTATTATAACAATATGTATTTAAAGGCGTCATAGTGCAGTAAAATGTCCCTGTCTGTCCCTATTATGTCTTTATTTTATTATACTTGTTGCAGTCATTAGTGGTGACATTTTTATGCTGACTTCAGCCTGACTTGAGGCTGGTTTTACACACTAAAAAGCTTCCTGTGTTTCTGATGTTTGTGGGTATGGAATTACACTTCCTCACTCACCCCGAGCAAATGCTCAAGTCCCACCGGCAACTCTAAGAGGAGGGGGTGCAAGATTATGAATAATTTCAAACATTAGGCACAGGAACAGGATAACATGTTATCAAAATGAAGTTAATAGTAAAAGTCCATTTTTGTACTTGTGATGTTTCTGGATTAATATTAGTGTTACATTAATGTGTATGTTACATTGTACTGCTGAAGATGTTTAAGGTTGAGCTCATATTAACTACTTTATATACTGTTTGGTAGTTTAAGCCAGAACAATGCATCATATTCTATAAGATCTTCATATATTTGTTGTTTCTTAGTTAACATTTGTGAGTTAAAGCATTTAGCTTATTCAATCTGTTTATCTTGAGCTACTTTAACAACAAAACTTGTGAAATGTAACCACATTTCACTTATTTTGCAGTTCCTTTGTAGGAGAACTTACAACTGAAAATCTAGTTAGAAAAGTTAATGGTGCCTTCATACAGTTTCTGATGTGGAAATGTTTGGACGAAATGAAACTGACAGCAGATTAGAGCTGAAAAATCAGTCGATTAACTGATTGACAGAAAAATAATATCCAATCATGTTGATAATCTATTTTTAAAATAAGCAAAATGAGAAATATTCTCTTGCTTCAGCTTCTCGAAAGTGAAGAATTGCTGCTTTATATGTTTGTTTATAATAATCTAAACAATGAACATTGAAAGACATCAGTTTGGACTCCCCATGTGCCAAAGAAATGGTCCGTTTCAACACCTCCGGCTACTCAGGTGCCATTAAAGTATCGCATAAACTTCACTGTGTTCTCTAATGATTTTCTGTCTCTCTTTCTCCCTGCAGGGGAGGAAGGCCCCTGGGCGCTCGGGGAGTCGATCCAGCAACATCTCCAAGGTAACCACTGACTATCAGAGAGCTTAAAGGGCCAATATCAAGGTCACACTTCAGACTGTATGGTAGCATCCTTTATCTAAGCAGAATGTGCTAATGCTAGCGTGTTACTAACAAATTAAGACAAAGGTGCTTCAAGTACACACTGTTGTATGACTCATGAGACACAAAAGGATTTTAGTTTCTGTATTGATTCATGATTAATTATAATTTCAAATGAGTATGAATAATGGTGGAAGGGTTGCTCGTAATGATAAACCCACAGTTGATCATCGCTTGACAGGTCGCCCTTTAGCATCTTTTACCTGTCTGTCTTTACCTTTAACTGTCAGTCTCACCAGTCTCAGCCCCATTTATTTTTAACAGCAGTACAGAGACTAAATTAACAACTAGGTAAATGTAAAGAGCGAAACATCTAGCAACTTTTTGCCAACATGGTAACAATAACAAGGCCGTAATAAATGAATTAATGCAGCTTTAAAATAACTGTATCAATAATATTAATCTTTATTTTGATTATGTGGTCATTAGAAACTGTGTAGCAATGTTTATCAACCGATCATTCATTGGCTGTAATGTAATTATACCGATAATTTATAGTAATGTACATTTCCCGTTATCGGCCCATAATTATGGTGCATCCCCATTAACCAGAGTGTACTTGCACAGAAACATGGACGCTAATTTGAGTCTGTTTGTTGTTTCAGGCCAGCAACTCAACAGCAGGACTAACTACAGCTTCAAGAACATCAATCACCCCGTCTTCTCAGGACATATGCAGGTAAGACAGCCGTCTCTTTAAGTATCACAGAGTTACAGATGACAGAAGACAAGGCGAGATATTCCTTGAATATCTGCAAACATCTCTGTTAAAGCCTTCAGGCTTTCAGAGCAGCCACAGTTCTCTCTGTGATATTGACATTCACAGTTTAAAGCTTCTTCTCCACTGAGTGGGAGACTCGATTAGTATGGTCTGCCGCGCCCGAGGACATTAACAAAATTAAAATCCAATGGTGCTCCCATAGCGCAATCAATGAGAGGAAGATTTCTGATTGCAGAAATGGGATCCTTCAGCTCAATACATCCACCGGTGGCGTGGTCGTCACACTGGCTCAGTCGAGGCTGAAAGAACACTGTTTGACAACAATATGGACACGTGTGATGTACGGAGAGAGCTTGGACCTCTATTTGTCACATAGCAAATCATTTACCATCTCCTATTCTGATTACCAAGCTTGATAATCAAAATAAATTGCCATTTTGATTTCACTTCATTATTGAGTTTTACATTATTCTCCATTCTGTGTCTGAGGAGTTTTTCCCTAACAACTCAGTACAGAAGCTGGTGGGAGTTTCTAGAAACAGTTAACTTAATGAGTGTTTCACATTGATTGGAAAAATATGCTCATTTCAGTCTTGTTGTTCCTGTAAATTGACTTTCCACAGTTGACAGATTCTTACCTACGAAGCTCAAAAGGGGAAAAAGACGTCACACAGACCTGTTTGAATCACTGAAAACAATGATGTGAACGGTGATCCACAAGTCTGGAATCCACCTTGATATTATCCTGAACCCTCGAGGATGGAAGCACAGTGGACCGTTTAAAGAGTTGATTCACCAGAATTACATAAAGTATATATTTCCTCACTTTAAGTTGTATCTAGCAATGCAGAATAAGTTTTATTTGCCCAGGTTTGGAGATATTTCTTACTCATTTAATTACAATGGAGCTGAATGAAATTTGGTTCATGGTGTTCAAAACACCGACATATTTCTATAAACAATGTTACTGAGGATAAATAAGTTAAATGTGTTAACAGTGAGCTCTGTGGAGTAACAGTGATACAGATTCTGGAAAGAGCTGTTGCTGTTGCCTGTTAACTTATCCATTGTTTTATTTTTTGGGGGGGGTTTATTGGCTTTAATTCATAGTGACAGTTGAAGAGTGACAGAAAAGGGGGGAGAGAAGGAAGGGAAGACACGCAGCAAAGTGCCACAGGTTGGATTTGAACACTGGCCCACTGCAGCAAGGACTCAGCCATGGTACACGGGGTGTGAGCTATCCAGGCGCCCCAGTATATCCATTATTCAATATATCCATCCATCCATCATCATCCACTTATCTGGTGTCTGTTCGCTGTGGCAGCAGGTCAAGCAGGGCACTGGAGACTTCCCTCTCCCCAGCAACGCCTTGCAGCTCCTCCTGGTGGCTCCTGAGGCCAGATGAGATATTTAATCCCTCCATAAAGTTCTGGGTTTGGGTTTTTAATAGATTTTTCACAAACTGTGAGCACCGAAGATGAATCCAGGGCAGAGGACAATTGGGTGAACTGATCCTTTAAGTGTTTACAATCAGATTTCAGTTCATTTGTTTAGTTAATGTCATCACATTCATGTTTTTTCCATCTTGTTTTACTTCATTTTTACACATTTCCATCTCTGTTTGTGTGTGTGTGTGTGTGTGTGTGTGTGTGTGTGTGTGTGTGTGTGTGTGTGTGTGTGTGTGTGTGTGTGTGTGTGTGTGTGTGTGTGTGTGTGTGTGTGTGTGTGTGTGTGTGTGTGTGTGTGTGTGTGTGAGTTCAGTTCTGGCCAGCTGCCCCGTTTAGAAGAAGATGCTTCTGAATCTCACAAACACAGCAAGCACACACACACCTCTGTGATGACAGTCACCAGCACAGCTCTGGGCTCGTCCGCCCAGGCCCAGAAGAAGCAGGTGAAGCGCCGTCACCGCCGCAAGAGGAGCAGCTGCACCGCCCTCAACTGCGTGGAAAGCAACGCCAAACAGGAGCAGACCGACCGCAGCCTCAGCTCTGACCGCAGCGAGCGCGGGGAGAAGAGGGAGCGGCCTTCAAAGAACCGGAGGGAGCTCCCTCCTCGCCTCCGCTGCTCAGGGCCGCAGTCAGACACCACCTCTGAGGATGAAGCGTGGCGTGAAGCCCGCAGCTGGAGCAAAGAGAAAGCCCGAAGAGTGCGCCGCCGCAGCGGAAGCAGCCGAGAGAGAGACGGGCCAAACGCGGGTAAAACAGGGAAAGACAAAGTGGAGATCATGGAGCTGCAGTCGCTGGGCTCAGATGAAGGGAAGGAGAACCAGACTGTGTTGGAGGAGGGCGGAGGCCTTAAGAAGCGGCACAGCAGTAGGGCCTCGATGAAGAGAGACGGCCACGTTTCACCAAGGGAAGGATCGCAGAGCAGAGACAAGGAGAAGAGCTACAAGTCACGCAGCCCAGAAGGCAGCTCCTCATTGGCGGAGGACGGCGAAGAGCTCATCACTAAGAGATACCAGGAAAGGGGGTCGGGGGGTGGGGACATGTCAGTGCCCACACCACAGAAACACTGCGGGATGAATGGAGGCGCGCCACAGCCCTTCTCTGATGACTCTGAGCTGGAGGTCTGCAGGTCAGTGTGTGTTTGTGAGCCTTTATGAGTGTGGCTGTGTGCACTAATCATTTGTCAGTATCAGGTTCAACTTTAACTCCACTTTAAAAAAAAAGGGGAAATTAAAACACATTACTCGTTCTGATGTGTGTGTGTGTGTGTGTGTGTGTGTGTTTATTTTCTGTGTGTGTAGAATCTGCCACTGTGAGGGGGATGACGAGTGCCCGTTGATAATGCCTTGTCGCTGCACGGGGAGCCTGAGTTTCGTCCACCAGGGCTGTCTCAACCAGTGGATCAAATCTTCAGACACTCGCTGCTGTGAACTCTGCAAGTTTGACTTTGTTATGGAGACGAAGCTCAAACCTTTACGCATGGTAGGCACACGCTCGTAAATCTGTGGATCTGCTGCTCCAGACAGCAGAGTCAGGCTGTAATAATGAACACCTTTTCTCCTTTTTCCCCCCTTTCAAACAATGTCTCTCATCTCCCTCTCCGTCGTCCAGTGGGAGAGGCTACAGATGACGAAGAACGAGAGGAGGAAGATCTTCTGTTCAGTGTTGTTTCACCTGATAGCAATAGTGTGTATGTTGTGGTCAGTCTACGTTCTGGTCAAGAGAACCATTGAAGAGATCAGACTTGGGAAGAACGGTCAGTATTTTCCCTCCTGCCTCCCTCTCTCACATACCAGAGACATGCAGATGAACATTTTGGCTTTGATGAAACAGTGTTATGATCCAAATTAAAGGTACCTTGGGGAGTTTTAATTGTTAAACACTAAATTGTGTTTTAATAAGTGTTTTATTCACATTTATTTCACAAACATTTGAAAACCTGACATTGTTTTGAAAATGAAAGATTAAAAGGTTTTATTTGTCACATGCTCATACAAAATGTGTAGTGACATGCAGGTTGTCATACTAATAAAAAAGAGTATTTTATATATAAATCTATGTAAGTATTAAAATACTATAACTTAGAAAAATGTACACATCACAGCTGTAAGACACATTATATCCTTAAACTTAACTCTCATAATGTGTTACTGCCATCTGAAGTAATTTGTATCACATCCCGTCCACACATATAGAGCAAACACTACAGGACCATTAAAACGTTGCACTGTAGCGCCCCTGGTGGTCAAAAACTCCACAGGGTACCTTCAAACTTTTCAACGCTTATATTTACTCTGGTGATGTGATTTTGAACTTAAATTTTCTTTGTAGTCACTAGTTTAACTAAATCTAGTTAAACTAGTGAAGAGTATGTGTGTGTGTGTATTGTACAGAATCAATCTCCCGGCTTATAAACTTTCTGTGAGTTTTATCCCCAGTTGTCTCTCTGCGTTAGTGGTTTTGCTCTAGAACGGGTCTCAAACTTAAATTATAAAATGTTGGTATTGTCGTCTCATAGGACGGCCACAAGTTCCATTAATAACATCATGTTTTAATACATTTTATATCATCTTTATTGCTCACAGCCAAACAACAAATAAAGCCCTGAAACCCGCTCTCTTCTTATCAACAACACATTTGTACCTTTGAAACTAAATACATTGTAAATACAATTGTGTTTTTATTTTAATTGTATATAAAGGGGTAGATTAAATTTTACCTAGTTAAACAAATTGATACATACAAAGACTTCAAATTATAACTCAAAAAGATGTTCAGGCAGTAAAGTGCAGTAGGTTTTAAAGGAAAATGAATAAAGTAAATAAAATAAGGAACATATACAGACTGTATTACTAACAACATCAACAGAAAGATAAAAGACAAAGAGAGTGAGAGAGACTCCCTCAGTGCTTCTGTATGTTCACTGTGCTCGTTGATGGTGTGGTGTGTGTTGTGCTGTGATCTTTGATAATCATAATACAGATCAGTGTATCTGTGTTATCATTCTCACACTGTAGGACCTCAGGTTAAAAGTCAGAAAACATAGACACTGTATGTTAAAAATCTATATTGTATATCATAAAACAATAGAGCATAGACCAGAGATCATAGAAATAAAGAGGAATTACACTCACTCTTGATTGCAGAGAATTTATGGAGAGTTTCTCTTCTGAAGTACTATTCGCCACAGGGTAAGCACAGCTCTGCACACGCCGCCATGATGATCAGTCACACATCTGGCAGGTTGACTTACAGCCACTTTGTGTGTGTGTGTGTGTGTGTGCGCGCGCGCGTGTGCGTGTGTGTGTGTCAACAGGTGTGCTGGAGTGGCCCTTCTGGACCAAGCTGATTGTGGTGGCCATCGGCTTCACAGGCGGCCTCATCTTCATGTACATCCAGTGTAAAGTCTACCTGCAGCTGTGGCGCCGCCTCAAGGCCTTCAACCGCATCATCACCGTGCAGAACTGCCCCGAGAAAGGCCTGCACAACTGCCAGGCCCGGCCCAGCGCGCTGACCAATGGCACGCACGAAACTGTGGAGGTTCCAGTCAGTCCGGCCCCCGTCGCGGCTCCAGAGCCACAGATGGATTCAGACATGTCAGTGGAGGACGCAGTGGCGCCGGCCCAAAACCCCGTCTGACTGATTCTCCTCCCACTCGAGAGTCCTGACTCACACCCGGCTCATCCGACAACACGAGTTGGTGTGAGAGCGGCGTGATTTAGAGCCGTACAGTGTTGTAGTGTTCAGCTCCTGTGATTACTGAATCTTGAGACGCACACAAAGGATGGATTTTAAAGTCCTTCAGTGATCAAGGAAAAACTGAAAGGCTGAAGGGCTGCAAGTGAATGTGTGAAGGAAGGAAAGTGCTAATGGAGAAAAGAGGAAGTGAGAAGATGTGAAGGGACAGGAAAATAAAGCCATCAGCAGGAGAAGTTTGTAAAAACTGTAGTTATGTGATACATTGAGTTTTATTCCTGTATGCACTTTCTCAAACTGCACTGACACGAGTCCTGTGGATGCTATTAAAGGTCTCAGTATGCTTCAAACGACCCGCAGACGAGGTTCAAAAGCATTCATAGATTTAAATGTGGTGTCTCAGAGACGATAAAGTCCCTCCTCACAGACGTTTATGGCGTTCAGTTGTACACACAAGACGAGATGAAGATGTAGTAATGTGAAGAGCTTGAGGAAAGAAGTTACCTGAAGTGGATAAAGGCACATGTGAAAGTGGGTTTCAGATGCTGTTACCACCAAATTCCACCGGGCACGGGTGTGACATGTTCGAGCTGCGCCGTGGCGGCTGGAGCTGGAGACAAGCCTCGTGATTCCACCAGAAGCGTCTCTCCGCAGAGAATACAGTGTCGATCTGTTTTTGACAGCTCAAGCAGCACCGAGCAGATCACAGACACAGAAACATCATAGAGAATCTGGTAAGTTTTCAAAATAAAATACCCCGTGCAGACTGTGGATTTAATTTCAAGCTACAGCAACATTGTGGCACCAGAAGTCAATCAGTCAGAGAAGATTTGACGATGAGAAGTTCATCCTGGAAGTGGAAAAACACACCGATTTGTATCTTTTTTTAAAGGACAAAATACAACAACAGCGGAGAGACGAGACGTTCTGCTTCTGACGCGCGTGGATCACGGACCCGAACCACGTCACAGACGCGACAGCATAAAGCCGCGTCCGGTGGAATTTCAGGGTTTAGACAATCCAACAAGCACTTTGTTTGAAGCATACCGAGGGCTTAACTCTCCTTCTGGACAATCAGGTCTTCAGACACCAAAGAGTCAGGTATCATCAGTAGAGAAATTATTATTTGAACAATATCTTTAGCTCAGTCTGAAAAAAAGATTAATTTATTTACTATCATAGGAAAGTTATAAATAAATATTTCTTTAAAAAAAAAAAGTAAATCTCAAGTATCCCAGTTGTTTATTGACAGTTTGCAGCTTTATGTGGTCCCGCTCCGCGAGGTCCCCGGTATTTATACATTGATGTAACTAAAGCTTTCATGGTCGTCATCCGTTAGACTTTACACACAGTGCGAGTGACCAGTCAACAAGGTGACTGTTGTTTACACTTGTCAACTTTTCTACAGGTTTTAATTTTTACCATCGTCACTGTCACATCACAGGCAAAGTTTATTTTCTCTGTCTTATATCCACCAACAACATGAGAACACCCAACATCAATGTCAGAAACCTTTTTTCTTTCCTATCCGGTTGGTTAAAGTTGAATATTCAGGTTACACGATGGATGTTTGTTTGTGCAATAAACAATGAATGTAGAATCCCTCAAAGGTCTGTGTGATGTTACTGAGCAACAAGAAGACTTTAAATAAGGGCTGATAAATCTTTAGTTTTCCATCTCTGAGAGTTTGGCGCCATCATGTGGACAAACAGGGAGACGCAGCATTTTTACACACAAACACACTTTTTCTATAAAAGTCTTTTCAGTCCTGAATGGACGACCGGAGCCTCAGTTTGACATCAGCGCCGTGTCATCCAGCTGCTCCTCATTAAAGTCATCTTCATCATCATCATCATCCTCAATATCATCCTCTGCGTCGTGTTTCTCCTCTTCTTCATTCTTGGTGTCCAAACCTTTGTTAGACACCTTTCGCAGTTTAATATTGGGAAGTTTCTTCAGATCCCCGGTCCACTCTCTGTCGAAATAAGGATCAATAAATGTCATTATCGGATTATCAGAAAGGCACGTTTGTGAATCTTCTCAAATCCTTCGCTTAGAATCACAATATTCAGAATCAGAAATACTTTCTTGATCCCGTTAAATAATAGTACTTACATAGTACTTTAACAATGTTAAATAATAGTACTTATATACAATATCTAACACAATAGAGCGAATATAAATTAATGTATAAGGTATATACATATAGTAAAAAGTTACATAATAAGAGCCTATATACAAAGTTAATGTAAATATATTCCACAGTATTGCTGAGAGAAATAAAATATTATTCAAAATTCAAATATTATCCAAACTGTTCATGTGGCCAAAATACAATAATTCAAAGCACAGAGGAAAAGATAAATCTTAATTTGCATGATGAAGCTGAATAATTACAGCCAATAATAATCACAGCCACTTCTCAAAGACATACATTGGCTGTAGTTCGTTTCCACTCACTTGAATGTTTTCAGATGTTTTCCATTGATGATGTCGGGGATCTCTGTGAAGAGGACAAAACAAAAGCTCACAGAGGATTCTCCAACCCGACTGTGTCCTCGTGTGTGTGTGTGTGTGTGTGTGTGTGTGTGTGTGTGTGTGTGTAGCAAACGTGTGACTGGTTTTGTCGGGCGAAGACTCACCGAATCCGCCGCCCTCATATTGCGCTCGCTCCCGCTCGATGGTCTGTTTGATGACAGCCTCTCTGGCGCCATGGAGACGACCCTGTCGACCTTTGATCCCGTTCATCAGCTCAATCTGCTCGAGTTCACAATCAAACCTTTGGAGGTACCTGCACACACACACACACACACACACACACACACACACGAGAACATTAAACATTAAGATGTCACAAAATAAATGCTACATAATATTATATAATAATAATTTTTTGATGCATTTCGAACTCAAAATGACAAAAACAAACCTCTCAATAATGTCACAGGCATCTTTTCTGGTGTAAGCCGTCTTTTCTGGATCCAACTGTTCCTGAAACCACAACAGCTTCTCACCTGCGAGTCCAGAGGCAGACAAATAAAACAGACGGAGACGGCGTTTAATGGATTTCATCCTCACAGCCAGCGAGTTTTATACGATACGAATGATAAACGAACTCACCGATGCCGCTCAGACGAGTTGCTTTGTCATTCTTCTGCCTGCAGTGTCGAGAGAAAACAATTAAAGTAATCAGAGTAAACACTGTAATCTTAATCAGTGTTTGATATTTCAGCCTCAGTCAGTGGTGTTCATTCTTTCATTCATTCATTCATTCATTCATTCATCTAAAGATATTTGTCCCAGGTCAGATCTAATAAACCTCACAGAGTTAGGGCAGAAATCTTGCTCACAGAAAAGTAAAAAAGTTATTTTGTCTTTATTTGGGTCTCACAGGATGTAGATGGAAACATGAGAGGATTTCACAATAAGGCTCAAATGTAAGCATTAACATTAATATTCATACATTAATACTTTTGTTTTCTTTATAAGGGGCAATCTGTAACAAATGTCACATAAACAAAGTCACAACAGTTAATAAAAGATGCCTTTGGAAAATAATAATAACAATAATCTTATATATTGTGCTATAAACATTACTCAAGTAAAAGTACTAAAATGTAAAAATACTACATTAAAAGAAAAATACCTGCTTTATAATCAAAGTTTAAATAAAAATACACATTTATTATTAGTTATTATGTACTTGAAATTGGTGATTACAAGTAAAAGTACTTATGACTGATATAATAAATCACAATGTGTAGGCTGACTCTTGTTAATGAATATGTTATAATAATAATAATAATAATAATTATTATTATTATTATTATTATTATTATCAGCTGGTACAGGTGGAACTAGTTTGAACTACTTTATATACAGTTGAGTAGTTGAATCCAGTGGTAGTCAACCTGAGGGTCGGACCCCTCCAAAGGGTCACAAGATAATCTGAGTAAACACACTTTTACAATAGAAATGTGGATTATTTATTTTTCTTTCTTTCTCTAATCTTTGAGAAATGTCGAGGACAATAATTTTAATTAAATGTATTTGAACTCATCGACAGACAACAGACAACAATAAGTACACAAGGAACAAGCACACACTGTAGTTAAGTAATAATAATAATAATAATTAAATGAATAATCTGTGCTGCAGTGATTTGTTGTTGTTGTTGTTGTTGTTGTTGTTGTTGTTGAATAAGCAGATTTACCAGGAGAAGGTCATTAGGTTTAGTTTTCATTACCTCTCTTTCTTCTTCAGTCTGATCTCCTCTCGGGCGAGATAAGCAGCTTTCCTGCTGAACGGATGAACAACTTTCTCCGTCGCTTTTCCTTTTTGAACCTTCGGCTGGAAAAATAAACATTGAATCAGATAAACAACAAAACAACAAAACGACAAAACAACAAAACAACAAAACAACAAAACGACAAAACGACAAAACGACAGAACAACAAAACGATCGACCGATCAACGTGACATTAACCGAACAGGTGACTGAATCAACTGTGATCAGTATTATTGATCTGACAGACTTTACCATTTTAGCTGAAAACGCGCGTGGTCCTCTCTTGTTGACAACCACACCGGAAGTGGTCGGTCCGTCACTAAACTTTGTCCGGATGGGATGCGGAGAAAAATAAATCGGTTCCACTTGTCAAGGCGTCACAGATTCACGAGCAGTTAAAGTGATTAAACTTGAAATATATATATTATTTTATTTTATATATATATAAAATAATATAATATATATTATATTATATTATTTTATATATATATACATAATATCATATCATATAATATTATTTTAATATTATATTATATTATATTATATTATTCAATATATATATATATATACATAATATAATATATATTTAAAGTGATTAAACTTTAAATATATATATTATATTATATTATATTATGTGTGTATATATATATATATATATATATATATATATATATATATATAAAATAATATAATATATATTTAAAATAATGCTGCCAGTTACTGTGTTTGACTGACTGTGGTGCGTTCAAAGACGTTGTTAAAGATCCCCTCCACACATATTAAGACATATCTATACAAATATTCTGCTTGGAAGAACATGACTGATGTGATTTTTCCACATATAAAAGTATAATTTCCACATTAAAGTCATTAAGAAGGCCAAGAAGACTGCTAGACACGAGATGTCTCCTACTTCACTGTAAAGTCCATTCTCAGTGTTTGTGCACTGGTGGCTTCAAGTCTCTACCTCTACACCTTGTATGAGCTGCACACTGTACCATGTTTGAATTTGTGATGTCACAAATCATGCTCATAGGCCTGGCCTCTTAAAATCAGATTTTCAATGAGCGCAGAGAGAAACTTTACACTTTCAGCACATGAATGTTAAAACATCTTTCTAGTGTCAGACTCTGCACAGACATCAGGGTCACCAGAAAATAGAAACCACAGGAAGTGTGTAACCACAGTTAGAATTTCAATATTACACTGTATTTTCTAAATTCATGTTGCGTGTGCTTATTTAGATGCATTTCAAGAACTACAGCTGTGTTTGTATGTTGTATTATTCATATGTAATTCATGAATAAACATTAAATGAATAAAACAGAACACAAATTCTGAGAAGATGATCGTCTCTGCAGATGTGCACTGAGGCGAAAGTACTGATCAGTTCAGACAGTTGAGACCAGTTGAGACCAGTCAGATTCCTCCAGCACCTCAGGCTTTTCTTCATATGTTAAAAACATCAGATATGCGGCCGAGGAACAAGTCCTGGTTTGCTTTAAACACCCAAATCATTTTAAACTCAGGAACAACTAACGAGTTGGTTGGGTTTTTTTTTTCTCTTGAGTTAAACTTTGTCGACTTCTGTAGTTAAAATAACAATTTCAGGACGAGTTGTGTGGCCAAAAGTAAGTGGACACATAATACCATCCACATACTGTGACCTGGGGCTGTTCACCATAGTTTGGTCTAGACCCCTTAGATGATATTTTAGATAACAGAGTGCCTCTAACTTTGGGCAACAGTTTGACATGACAGTGCTCTCCAGAACAAAGCACATAAAGAAACCTCTCAGTCTTGGTGTGGAAGAACCCGATCGGCCTGTAGAGAGCCTCGATCTCACCCCCGTCCAACTCCTCTGGGATGCTCTTGTGACTGAATCGCTGCAGCCAGGTTCCTTAATCTTGGGGGCAAGCCTCCTCAGAAGGGTGGAGGTTGTTGTGGAAGCAGATTAACAACTCATCAACATCGGTTTGGTGTTAAGGTGTCTATGCTGTCTATGGGTGTCTTCATTTTTCTTTGGGTAGCAGGAAATTTCATGTGGGTCTGCAATGATTTCAGATTTCTTCAGAACTCCGAAACAAACAGAAGCAGAAAAAAAAACACGTCCAAAGAGGAAGAATCTGACACCGAATATTTTTCACTTAGCAAGAAATTCACTTCACACCTTCCTGAGGAACGATGATGTCCAGTGGTGGAAGAAGTATTTTACTTATGAGTGAAAGTACCAGTATGGAAAACAGTTCTGCAAAAAGGAAATTGTACCTAAAGCATGAAAATTAAAAGTATTTTAGCTGCAGAAAAATGCCAACTGCTACTGATAAACTATTATATATGACAACATTATACTGTAAATTTTGATGCATCAATGTGTGTAGGCAGGAAACCCCAACTAGACACATTTTCCAAAGTATTAATAGCTGTGAAATAAATGAATAATAGTTGTCTCAGAACCATAGTGGAGTAGTTGTACAGTAAAAGTAAAAATGCATAAAATGGAAATCACATACAAATCCCTCAAAACAGGACTCAAATACAGCACTTGAGTAAATGTACTGAACTACTTTACAACCACTGGTGAAAAGTGAGTTAACAGACTGACCTCAGATCTTATGACTCAGATAAAGAAATTATTTTCAGGAAGCAGTGGTCACGGATACACAGTATGAGCTGTCTTCTCTGCCACAGAGATTTAAAAACAGATTCTTCAGAAAAACGTCATTAAGTTGTTTTTTTTTTATCCGAGCCAGATGAATCTGATATGGTTACTAATCTCTTAATCTCTTTCCAGAAAGCTTAACATTGTGTAAAGCTTAATTAAAGTTTAATTTGTGTTCATGTTTATTCCAAATAACTCAGTTTATTTGGACATTTATATAAAAAGGGCTGGTTAGCTTGAACTTTTGTGTGAGTATAAGAATCCTAAAAGAAAAAGACTGTGATAAAAATCTTAAATGGATACTAAGACATGCATGTTTCCACTCAGCAAAAGATCAATTTATTCTTTTAATCCGACACCGGGGAAATTCCCTTGTTAAAATAGCTCCAGATACCACACAACACAACACAACACAACACAACACAACACAACACAACACAACACAACACAACACAACACAACACAACACAACACAACACAGACTGGTAGATAAGGAAACACACCTAAAATAAAATAAAAATTAGAAAGATGTAATAGAAATAGTAAATAAGAGTAACATACAATAAGGTAAATAGGATATCTCCATTGGGATTTGGCAACCCCAGATTTTTCCTCAGTAATGACTAATAACTAATTCATAAAGGATTAGTAAAAGATTTATTAACCATTACTAAAGCTGTTTGTTATGACTTTAAATCATTTTATAAAGGATGATTATAAGTAGTTCCATTACTTTTAGCCACACTAGCAGCTCCAGCGATGGTTCTCGGTTTATAAAATAAACTAATGAACTACTGGATGGAAGATATTTTATAGATATTTTATACTCTTTCTTTCTTCTTGCGCCGCCATGAGGTTTTTGTTTTCTTTGTCACCACAACTTTGGATGAATTGCCATTAAATTTGGTCGATAAAAATGGATGTAGTCTCTGTGACGTCACCCATAAGTTTGTCCTGAATCTGACGGCTCCCCAGCTGATGCAAAAACACCCGGAGCGCTGATGCGATGCAATGGCTGATGCGATATAAAAATGAACCCCCTGCACAGTTGTCTTGAATAGGGAGTTTAGCTTTAGAGACTTAAACTTCTTCTTGTACTTCTGCACAGTGGACTCCATCTGTAGATATAAACAGCTCATTGTACGGTAACAAAAACACTCACAATTCATACACACTAAGGAGAACATACCTCCTAATATTATATTCTTCTAAATGTTACACACTGGCCCTTTAACTGATAAAAAAAATGACACTTGCTTAACATTGTTATCATTGTCCCTGTGAGCATGTGAGCATGTACTCTTGTTTTATATTTACCTCCACACTGTATGAAGCTCTTTCTATTTTACCAATAAATTATTTTAGTGTCCTGGGTTACATTAGCCTGACTTGTCTCATCTAGGAGTCACCAAATGTTGTCCAACCTTCTGAGATATGATTTCCGCTATGAGGTGGAAGTGGCATAAAGGCCATTTGCGATGTACTGATAATACTCGCAGTTGACATGAATCACAAAACCCTCAACCATCATGTTGAAACCTGCTACCACCATATTTTTTGCTTGTTAGATGGAGAGAAAATATTGTAGGGTCCTTTAATAGCCAACAGCCTTCGCCCATAGATAATCATAACAGCATGACCCTCACATTCACTATTTTACTACAAAGAGTGACTTATGATCCCGGCTGGAGCTCGTATCAGGAAACAGATCAACAAACAAAAAAAAAGGTGCTGCACATTCAGAGTTATTTAAGCAGCAGCTCGTCATTTATTTCTGAAGAGATTCCCGAACCAGCTGGAACTCTTTCTTTCTTTTTCCCCTCCCAAAGTTTGTTCAGCGTCCCCCTTCACTCGCTCTGTAGGGCCGCATACCTAACCGGCAGGAATGCGATTGTGCTGCAGCTGAGGAGCCCGTCAGACTTGTGGTGACAAGCACACAGTTGATTGCATCACATCCGAGTGAGTCTGAGGGTGTGTTTGTGTGTGAGTCTTTTTTTTTTTTTTTCTTTTCCTTCCATTTAACATGTTAAGTCAGATCAGGAAGTGTGATGCTGTGACAGTAGAGAAGGAAGCGGGCACACAATGGCACTATGTCTGCCTCCTGGTCTGGTAGCATGAGAGGCCCCCGGGTGAAGACCCCTCTTCTACTTCTGTTGTTGCTGCTGCTGAGCGCTCTGACTCAGACTGGTAGGACTTTCTTTCTTTTGTTATCTCTTTGAATTAAGACCCACTTTCCTGCCTCCTCCCTGCTTTCTCTTGTGTGCTTTAGTTAAACCTTTCTGACTCTGTGACTGCGAGTGTTCAAGGGTGTTCATTACTGATACTGTTTAACTTGAATATAATGAACAGCAGATAGAGTTGATACATTCAATAGCACAGCTTAAGGACCCAAAGTACTAAAATAGTGTGTTCCAGTTTGGCTTTATCTTACTACAGTATGCTTTGTTTTTAGTTTAGAAACTTAACACCTCCTGAATTTCAAAATATACTGCTCTCTCAGATATATAAATCCTCTTTAGAACTTGTATATTATAGTATATTACTGGAAATCTTGAGCAAGAGAAAAACGCTCTGCTCACAAAGTGAAATCTTGTACAACGTGACAAAGCCTGCCGGGAACAAATTGCTCAACGCGTCAAGTATCTCAACCTCCTCCTCGCCGTCCAGAAGGTGAATTTAGCAACAGTTTGTATTTTATTTTGTAACAGAAACTTGAAATCATGTTCACGGAAGTCTGAAGTTCCTGTATGATCTGACAGATAATCTGCTCTGCTTGCAGATGTTGTGTTTAGAAACTAGTCTCAGGTTAATCCCTGCAGAAATAACTGTTCACTTGTGTTGTTTCACTTTCCTTTGACTTTACACTTCAGTGATATTAAGTGCCACAATGTAAAGTAATGAGAGGTGTTTGAATTTGCAGTGTTATGCCAAGATGAAGAAGAGAGTACAGATCCAGTTGAGGAAGAAGCAGAAGACAGCACACAAGTCCTAGAAGACGAAGCAGGCCCAGAGTATGACGGCGGCACAGAGAACACAGGTGAGACGTGAGAAATAAAATAAATTAGAGAAATTATTATTCCACATGTGGCCAAAAGTATGTGGACAGATGCTCATGTATTGGGGCTGTTTTTCAGATCTTTATCTGTTTATTTGTTTTTTGTTTTCCCCCCAAAAGTAGTTAAATATAAAGTATATTGAGTCCAAACATGTAAAATGCCCACTACATTGTCAGTGGTGGAAAGTAAGTATTAAGTTTTCAGCTCCTTTATACTTCGGCTTTATTACATTTCAGAAGGAAATATTTAACTTTTTACTCCACTGCATTTATTTTACAGTTACTAGATACTTTTCAGAGTAACAATTTACATAAAAAAAAAAAAAGTGAGCTTATAAAATACAGGGAACTGTTGAAGATTAAATCAGCGGTTTAGTAGTAGGTGTGTCTGATATTTAGGTTGCACATAAACAATTTTGAGGTTTTTCAAGAAAAACACAAATCTGTGTAGCAAAGTTGTCTTTTCTTCTTTCTTCTTCCACTAATCATCTCACAACCCCTCAAATGTATCTCCTGAGTCCTTTGGAGGGGCCTGACCTCTAGGTTGGGAACCACAGCACTAAACTACTGTAAATAAAACAGGGTAGTTTAAAAAGTAGCTCCACCTCAAATACTTCTCTCTATTTATACATCCGTATTAGTAATCTAATGTCAAATGTAATAATATATCAGTCACAGTTTCTACCAGGGTTGCTATAAGACAGGAAACAACTTTAAAGTGCTTGTTTGGATTTACCGAGCAATAAAGAGGATCTTAAAAGTGTTTGGATTTAGCCCAGATGGTGGCCAGAGGCTTTTTAAAAATATTTTTTAAAACATTAAAACCTTTTGACCATTATCAGCAATTTAGTTATTGATCACAATAAAGGAAGAACAGGTTTTGACTTCATTTGTTGAACCTAAAATTGTTTTCTACTGATAAAAGACGTCCACACATTTGCATAATTGAATGATTTTTTTTAAAAAGTACAGAAATATTTAGGTTCATGTTAATGAATTAATAATACAAAGGATTAATGAATTATTTCCCCACTTATTCCCTGGTGGTGCCTCGCCTTACATTTCTACTGCCATCTAATTAAAGTGAACTATTCAAGTCTTTGTCTGGTACTGTGATGGGTAAGACTGACATATGTGAATTATTGGCCCTTCATCTTTAAATAATTTGTTCTTGAAAAGTGCTTCAAAATCATTACAAAAAAAGCAACTTAAGTAATATTTTGTAATGGAGTATTTTAGATCAATGTACTGGTACTTTTACTGGTACCGTGTCGCACTTTCTGCCACCTCCGGACTTTGATTCCTGTTATTAGACAAACCTGGTTAACTTTGATTTTGGTACCTGTGTCTCTCTGAGGGACACCATTTGCTCCACAGTCTGGTTCAAAAAGTGTCATATAGGTTTATTTCTTTTATGCCTGCACCTTGAAACACTTCCCAGAAGCTGTCAAAACGGCTCATTATGTGTCCGTAGTTTTGTAGTGAGATGATCAACAGTCACATATGGATGCAATGTTTGTATGTCCACATACTTTTGGCCATGTACATTGAATGGGTCACTCACTGTGGACATTGGGGCATTGTGATGAACTGAACTCTGTTTTCAGACCCAACCCCAACTGAAGTTGTTCCTGAAGAGGAGTATACAGGTCGGTCCACTACACACTTTATTCTTCATGGTGCTGAAAAACCTCCTTTGAAGAGTTTATTCTTCAGCAATTGATCAAAATCTGTAAAATCGTATAATTATTTTGTTTCCAGCTGAAAAGACCACAGAAGAAGATAATGGCTCAGGAGTTAGCCCGACACCTGATGGTACGTCTGACCAACCACGACCTAACATCACAGCAGTCATGTACTACTTAATCATTAAACCACCATAACTGTCTCCCAGCCACTCCAGAAACAGATGACCCCAGTGTGACCGACACATCGGAAGAGAGTTTGAGCTTCATCATCATCCTGATCCCTGTGGTGCTGGTGGTGCTAATCATCAGCATGATAGTGTGCGGCATTTTCATCAACCGCAGGTGGAACAAAAAAGCAAGAAATCAAGGTATGTCCATCACAGGAGGGAAACACTTTAAAGGGTCAGTTCACCCAAATACAGAATCAGAAAACTCTTCCCAACTTAATCAAAAATAAAATAGTAGTGGTGACAAGTACAGTAAAACAGTAAAAGCAGGGTCCCAGTTAGATCCCATTTACTGGCCTGGTGTGGCTAGGCTGATAAATGCAGGTTTCAATTAGAGGCCTGGTCTGGATTCTATAGAAATTCTCTGGATGTATTCAACCAGGTTATCGCCTAGATCACCTTTTGTCAATATCGACATAAACGTCAGTCCTTCAGTTTATTTTACAGAAACCATCAGCACCAAAGTGTCAAGTGATCATGATGATTTGTAAACGATAGCTTTGATAGTTACTTAGTAGCTTAATTTCTATTTTCTATATTCCATTATAATACTGGTTTCATTAAACAATTTGATAGTATTATCCATCTTTGCTGAGCAAGAGTTTTATGTAAAAGAAATTAGCCTGTTCCAAATAAAAGCCTGGGCTATTAATTGAATTTGTACGGTAATATTAAAATCATCATAATGAAAAAATACCGCTCTTCTTTTAGACTTTATTTAATCCTTGTTTGGATCTTTTAAGTTTAAGATAAAGATAAATTACTGCAATCTGCAATTTTGTTCTTTTCTCATAGAGCTGAAACAGGAGGATCCATATCTGGACGGGTGCAGTACAGAGAAGGTGCCAATGTAAGTATTGAGAATGAGTTGTTTCTTTGTTAAACAGATGCTAAGTTAAAGGACGCGAAGCATGTAAAATGAGATCTATTTTAATGTCCAATGCACAGTCGGTGTTTATGCTCAAAGTGTAATTTCCTGTTTGAAAAACATAAGTGCAAAGGATGTTAGAGTTTCATATTCATATAAGAGTCATATCTTGTGGTTAGCCGTCATGCTCCAGCAGTATTTGCTTCACTATTAAAAACTCGAGCTGAAGACAGTATAGTCGCCTTTGAAGTCTTCACTGGAAGCAGCTGTGAAACTGTGAACACAGTGTTGTATAAAACGTCACAAATTCACTGAGATTACAAATCCGTAACAACATACCATAAAAGAGTTAGACAATTAATTAAAACAAAACTGTCAATTTTCTTGTATACCAGAAACAGTGGGAAGTAATAAAGTATCCTACAAAGACTTAGTTAATGTACCTAAGTATTACTACTTTTACTTTCTGACAACTTTTTACTTTTACTCCCTACATTTGTACAAAAATATCAGTACTTTCTACTCCTTACATAACAGGCTTGTTACTTTAGTTTGAATGAATTTGAGGAGAATTATCTATTTTTGCATGCTTCCCAACATCAACACCGATTCATGCAAAGTATGCTTTTATACTCTGGGCTCATTTCAGAGCCTGTACTTTCTCACTTTTACTTGAGTCTTTTTAAGCATCTGTCCTTCTACTTCAGTAAAGAACGTGTGTACTTTTGCCACCTCAGACTATCACCAGTGACATGACAGCATTAGATCATCATAGGAAGTAGCCTAACATAGTGATAACAACACAACAAAAACAAAACTGCTCCGGAACTCTGCCAGCAGGAGGTTGCTGTAGCAACGGAATGTTCGACTGAAACCAACTGGTGGTTAACTGGGAAGTTAGTTAATGAAGTAACTGTAGTACGTCTGTGTGTGTGTGTGTGTGTGTGTGTGTGTGTGTGTGTGTGTGTGTGTGTGTGTGTGCGTGTGTGTGTGTATGTGTGTGTGTGTGTGTGTCTTATTTGATTTTCTAAACACTTTGTACCCTCCAGGCCCATGTTTGAAGAAGACGTGCCCTCTGTACTGGAGCTAGAAATGGAAGAGTTGGACCAGTGGATGAAAAAGGATGGTAGGTAGTTTTTAAATAAAGATAACATGTAATGGGGCCTAAACTTTCCCGATATCCTGACAGTAGTACATAGGACGGGTCATCTTCTGATTCCATTAGTCTAATATGTGATGAAAGTTTCAGTAAAGGTTACCTCCTGCAGCTTTAACTGATGCATCTAAGTCACCTGTCCAGCAAAGGACAAATGCCTGTGTGTTATAAACACCGACATGTAAGTCTACGCTTGCATGTTTACCTCGCCCAAAAAATGAGGTAGTAGTGTTTGCACAATGTCACTTAGCTAACTGCTTGACTTCAGGAAGTTAGGATCATTGTGCAATTAACATTAGCCACAAAACCACTACATAGTTTTTTGGAGTATTCCTTATTTAGTCGGATAACTATGTCATGTCTTCACGAAGAAATTAATTTAGCTTGCAGAACATATGTAGGTGTAGCCCGTATACCTGCTTATACTCGGCACTGCAATATACTAGAAGATATAAGATATGTGCCCACAGAAATATTAAAGTGAATGTTGCTACTGAGGAATGTTAAAAACCCTAGCAAGCATTCATTACCCACGTCAAGTTGGATTACACACTCTGAATGTGGTTGTCTGCTGTGAATGCCACTGAAATGTGCCACACTGTCACAGTCAATTTTGTTATTTGCTTTTATTTCTTATGTGGCATTTAGCTTTTTTTTATTTTTATTATTCTTCTTTTATGTGTATTTGGAAGCGAAAGTGACGGCTGGTTGGACTCTGTTATAATTATTGTTGTAAAGACGTTCCCCATTGTACTATTTGTTCATATGAGACTGCTAAATTACATCTTTTGTGACTAATTGTCTGTTCTGAGATGAAAACCAGAAATAAAGCATCAAAAATTGGAAAACAGGAACATTTCCAACAGTAAGAAATATATGGGGGAGTTTATCCAGCAGAGGTCACTGTTACTCTAATTGTTAAGAATGAGCCTAACGCCACGTCTAGTTTCTCATACTGTATATTTCTTAGTACTTTACTCGTTATGAAAATTTGTTTGTAACATATAAGTAAGTGAATATAAGTAATCTCATACATTTTTTTTTAATGTAATCTTTGGTCTAGGTGAGACAACAGAGGACACCAAACATGAATAAATCTATTTATGGTGAGCAATACTTTACACTTATTAAATTTATGAGTGCATAAAGATTTTATTCGGTTTCTTGTCACACATCCCTCATGATCACATACATCACACATAGCTCTTTTAGAACCTTTTAGTAATAAAATGTTGTTTTTTTTATATCAAAACAAATATAAATGCATAAAATAAAGTGCACAAGTATACCTTTGCTTCACTCTTTGTTAATATTTTCTCTCCTGCTCCTCTGTGAACCTGAACCAGTTTGTTTGGCGCCGATGATTAAATGATTACAGCCACCGTGTCACAGCCAGTAGCAATGTGTCACAGCGTGAGCAATTAATATTAAGTAACGTTCCTAAAAGTGTGAATACAATCTAATGATCTATCTCACTGGGAATACGCTCGAAATAATAATGTCATTATTTATTTGCCTATAAATATTCGTAATATACACAGCTTGTTACACAATAAAGCTAACACAACACAGACTAACAGTCAACTTTTCCAAACAGTGTCCTTTTTTCTGCCATCCTCTGTTTGTTTTGATGCACCAGCTGGTTTCAGTATAGCTGTGACTGATGAACTGTGACCCTTTCGTCATTACACATGGTACTGTTTGAAAGCACAAACACTCCTAACATCTGCTAGTGATTACAACAGGCATGCATGGAAGTGTGGTGCAACTTAACCCTGGGATAGTCTCCTTACTGGAAGGGCTGGGTAGGCGAGGTCAAGGTCCACTATGAACTGTTGACCAACGCCATTTACACGCTGCTTTTTCTCAGGATTGCATTTCCAACACTGTGCATGGGTTAGAGGGTACTTTCATTCAACACAGAGCACTCTGTACACATTGGGTTACACAAGAGAACTCAAAACAGAAGTAAATGTAATGTTACTGCCGCTGTGGTTGCACAATGTGATGCCATCGACTGCAGCAGCTGTGCCCTGTTTAACAGACCTGTGAAATTCCACAGTAACTTAAACACAATTGTGGATCTAATTAAAGAATTAAAGCACACACAGTGTTGTTGAAACTGCTTCAAAAGTGAGTTTTGCAACCCAGCAGTTACTTTGCATTGGAAGAAGTTAGTAGACATACTCTCAAAAGAAACAAACGGTTTGTTAAAGCTCTTTGGAAAAATGTGTTCACGCCAGATTTAAGGAAAATAATAAAATGGCACTGTACAGCAGGGATGGAAATAAGTCAAAAAACAGCAAAAACCCCACTTTAAACTAAGTTTATTGGAAAGAAGTTGTGTTTAAGCTGCATTAATTGATTTTCTTGGCTACTTGGGAGCAGCACAACAAGCTGTACTGACAATATGAATTACCTTATAACCTTAAGCTGTGTGGAACACTAACAAACAGCCAGCAGACACGGAGTTACATTAGCTTTCATTTGGAGTTGTGTTTCTGATTACATGATGAATCTTATATTAACTCTCCTTTAAGCTGGTCTCTACTAACTTTCTGCTAAATGTTCCCTAGCATTTAGTGCTCAGCTGCAGCTAAAAAACAAGGTTGACAAAAGTAGTGAGAGTGAATGAAAACAGCAAAGTTGTGAGACAGAAAACCAAAACAATGAGCTAAGGGGAACTGCAGAGTCAGGCAATAATTCTTTGTGTGTTTGTTGAGTGAACGTTTATACTTAACACATAATAATTCAACCCATTGCTCTCATAAAAAATATTGATTAGTGCAGCTTTAAGTGTTTAGTCAACCAGCAAAACAAAAAATGTAGCTCAATATCCACATTAGAGCAGGATCAATATCTCTGCCCATCTTTAGAAAGTAGAATGGAAACACTGCCATTTAACAATGTTGTTTTCCAGTTTTTTAAGACTTAATACTATTTCACATAACAAATAATGATGTTTAGTGTTAAAGGTACATCAGATCACAGCCAAGTATATGTCACAGATGAGCCGGCCAACACCCTACCTATGATTTGTGCCTGAAGTGTAATAAGGTTGTGTTGTGTTTCGTTTCTGCTGCTGGAGCTTGTTTACATCACGGGTTTGTGATGTCCATGGCGATTCTTCCCTTATGCTGTGTGACCAACACCCTTTTATTTGTGTGGAGGCTGATGACGCCAGTCGTATTGCTATGGATCGACTGTACAGTCAGTAAGAGTGAGAGGAATTGACTGGACATGCCTTTTGTGAGAAAGTTTAACGGTGACTTCATCTCCAGGATGTTCTTACTTTCTATCTCTCTCCAAACCTGAACTCTGCCTCACTTTACACAGGTTTTGGACCAATCAGAACCTGTTTTCTTTTAGCCGAAGCAGTCTGAAGTCTGACACACACACACACACACACACACACACACACACACACACACACACACACACACACACACACACACACAGACAGACTCTCTTTGGATATTAAAGACTCCTCCTCTGGTGTGAAGTGTAAACGAGTGAGAGAGTTTGGGAATATGTTTCCTTGTTGTAATTTCAGTTTCCTTATCGTGTGCTGTTCAAGAGTAAAGAGGTTGTTTCAGCCTGTTAATACATTGTCACGTTATTTCTCTGCTGTTGCCACTACATTGCACTTGTAATATGCATATTTATTATTAAGCATTGAAGTTTGCATGTTTTCAAACGAGCACTGTTTATGTTTATGAAGGTATTTATATGTTTATTCGTATTTTATCATGTTAAATTTATACAGAACCACTGATTCAGTGAGAGTTGTGCAGATGGAAATAAATAAAAAACCTGAAGGTGACAAACAGTGCTTTTACAGCTTGAATTGGCAGCTAGGTGGATCAGTGGTTAGCACTGTCGCCTCTCAGAAGGTCCTCGGTTCAAATCCCGACTTGGGATTTCTGTGTTGAGTTTTATGTTCTCCCCCAGTGTTTGTGTGAGTTTCCTTCGGGTGCTCCGGTTTCTCCCACCGTCAAAACATGTATGTATGTAGGTTAATTCTCTCAGTGCCGCTGGCTGAGATCTGGAGTTGGTACTTAAGATGCGTCCAATGCAGAGAATGAACTTCCCTACGGGGATCAATAAAGGATAACTTCACATAATCATTATGCGAATTTTCAGTGTGAAACTATTCCCTCTATCACCCCTCTGGACTCATGTCACCATAGTTCAGAGATTACCGAGGAATGACCTCTCTCTCTCTCTGTCTCTGATTTCTTTACTGCAGGTTAACAAAGGACGCTCTCCCGGTATGCAAGGACACACAGTCATCAATGCACTGTTGCCAACTTGGATGTTCTGGCCTTCCGGCAACATTTGTGACCACAGGAACTATTTCGACTGCCAGGAAATAACACTGAGACACTTAAAGCACACTTACAACCAAAACTTTCATTTTTACAGCAAAATTATCCGTAAGTAAAGTCTTCAGTGGACTTCAATGTGCAAAGATTGGGCCAAAACGTTATATTGTGGTTCTTTTGTTATGAGAGTAATCAGTGTTGTGCTTTCACATATTATTTCTGTCATGCTTTGCCTGTTTTGATTGTATTGTTTGTTTTACTGTCAAGCAGTAATCAGTTATGTGAGGTAAATGCACAGTATTTTTGTGTGAAAAGTTTAAAGTTTAAAACCAAAAAAGCCCCACAAACATTTCCTTTTTGGCAGATTCACTCCATTAAAGAGTATGTTAACACGTTAAAGCACATTAGGCCAAAACTCTTCTCCACCCCTCACAGATATGACTGCTCATAGTTTCTACTGAAGGCTTCTCTTCAGCTCAAAGCCTCTTTGTTACACTATGTGACTCCCTGCAGCTACAGGTTTTAATGGGGAAATATCCTGTTGAAGATTGTAGGCATGCATGACAAAGAGGGCCACTCCTTCTGTGCAGAGGAGAAAGTGTTTTTTATTCAGAAACTGAAATAAGTGTGAAATCAGATGGAGTCTACTTCTGAGTGTATTTCTGAGTTTGATGAATTATTGCCTGTTGCTGAAACAGCTTTCTAAAAGCTGCTACTGATAAGATTTTCATCTCACCATAGATAATGACTCTTTAAATACTTGTCTACAGATGCTGTTCAGATGTTTTGTTTCTCATTTTGGCTTAAAAGTGTTGAATCTAAGCATCATCACACAGATTAAATTTGAGTGCAGCTTTGTATCTGTCAGTATTTTGCAGTATCTTGCACTGTAAATATGAGAATACAGTATACCAAAATGTTATTTTCAAAGAATGCCTTTTTTAAATATTTCATATAAGGTAATTTTTTTTTCTGATGAAGCTTTAAATAAAAAATCAATAAAAAAAATCTCTTTTTTAGCCACGCTGGCAGTGAGTGGATGGTAACGTCGGCCCTTGTCTCATGTATATAAAACAGAGCCCTCAAATATCCCCTGGTGCATTACCACTGTTGTGAATATGGACAGCTGTACACGTGCATTTGTTATGATTACATTAGGCTACTTATGATAAAATAATAACTAGTCGACAGCTTTGCTAACACAGCCAAACATAAAGAAAGTGCAACAGCAGAAGACACAGCAAGCCAGCTACTGTTAGGCTAGATCGATGTCTGTCTGCAGCCTTTCATTCCACAAAGCTCTCCCCAACAACAAAAAGCTATAAACTAACTAGCGCTAGCGAACAGCAGCTGGCTAAATTTCACAGCAGTTACTTTACTGTCCATCAGGAAACTCTGTAAATCTGTGGAGCAGCCAGAGGACATCAGAGGGAAAACCAGAAAACATCTTCTCTATAAAACATGATCCAGTTTCCTCAAATCAGTGACATGGTTGCTGGTGTGTAACTGCTGCATTATGCACTTGCCCCGACCTGAAACCAAAAGCTACACAGTGCAAGAACTGGCGTATGGGCCACACAGTGAGAACTGCAGAGGAACCTCTCACCCTATTAGAAGTCAGTGTACCATCAAATGGTGATAGAGAAACTGTTATTTTAAGGTAGAAAGGTTACATAATGTTGCTTTAAATTCATTACCAGTTTAAAAATGACTGAACAATAAAAGCAGAACAGCAGGTTTAAAGTGTGTGACATCTGTCTAATACGTGTTGTCTGTCACTGCACGCCTTCTGTTTCAGACTTTATGTCTACTGCTGTAAATCCAGTTCTGAGTTTGCTCTGCTTTCCTCTTTGAGCTCCGTATGTCTGATGGAATTCATAGCAGCGGAAGGTCTGAGAGAGCAAGGACAGACAATCCATGCAAACCAATGAATACAAATGAGAAATAAGTCTCTTACTCCATTTTCTCCTCCTTTTCACTCTTTTTCTCATTAGATTTCCAGACAGCAGTTCTGTCTGTCGCAGCAAAATGTCTGCATCGTCACTGCTGTCTGGCTGGTCAGACACTGCTGACTAAACATTGACATTTTCATTATCAACAGCTAACGCCTAAGGAAAAACTGAATTATCGTTTGTACAGATATATCAAACTGTTGCCTTTTGTATGGTAATTTAAGTTTGGAGCATCATACCTAAGGCCTTGTCTTATCATTATTGTATCACCTCAAAAACTAGATCTATTTAAAATTTTAGGAAATGGAGCAGACTCAGCATTTTATCTTTTCACGCTACGATTATTGCAACAGCCTCTTACTGAAAGACTGTACTGCACCTATGTGTAACCACATTACACCTGTCTTAGCCTCTTTACAGTGTTATAATTTTATTGATAATGTTTAAAGGGGCACTCCACCAGTTTTACATGTCCTAGTGAGTCGTGTTTAGCGCCACTCATCCTGTTTGATCTGGAGGGAGGAGCCCTGTTAAAGTACTTATTTGACATCAGGTTTCTTGACTTTAGTTTGGACACAGAAACCCTGGAGACATGGATGTTTACCTGCATTTGGGAAGCTCTGGTGAAAGATGTGGCATTATGTAATCCAGCATTTTAGGAGCTTGACCCATAATGCATTATGTTTAACTTTTGGTTAAGTTTATTTCGGTCATTTAATTTGCTTATACAACTCAAATACACAAATAAATAGGTTCAGTCATTTCAACCTATACAAAGCCTGAAGCCTTAACTCCTTACACTTTTACATTGTTGTTGACTTCAAGTGCTCTTCAAAGAAAGATTATCCTATTATTTGTTTTACATTGTTAGCTCATAAATACAAACACAATCTTACCTTATTGAGAAAGTGCTGTAAATCTATACTGTACCCTTTGATGCTGCACAACAGCCTGTGTAGGGTTTTTCCTCACTGAGTGCACAGAAAGCATTGTTCACACTGCACCAATTTCTGGCTAAACTGGTTTACATGTAAATAAACCAGCGATGCTTCTTACACTAAACAGGACTGTGGGATTGAATGAATTACATAAGAAATACTGAGCATATAGCGCATTAGACCTTTTCACAGCCTCACACCTTGCACGGTATTTTACTGATATATGCGAGGGAATGGATTTGATGGGTGTTTATAGTTTTGATTAAAGGTACGTCCGTCACAGTGGACGGAAATGTGATGTAATCCTCTAGAGGACACATTCATAACATCATATCTCCAGTGACCCGTCTCTTTGAATCTACCAAGCCTTGTAGACTGAATCACTGTCTACCCAGCAGGCACTGTTGCTGCCTGTCACACTCTATCAGCTCCATTTCACAGCCGTGTTTGTTTGCCTTCAAGAGCTGCGATGTTACAGAGCGTCATCCGTCTGTCGCAATCATCACATTCACTCAGTCTTGGGCAATCTCTGAGTGGAAAACACAGCATACACCAGGGAATCTGTGTATGTGTGAGAGAGTGTGTGTCATTATAGGAGACTTACTTCACAATAGTTTTGAGTTTGGTCCTTTGTAGAGTCGTGATGAGCAATTTCAAGCGTGTGAAATTTTCCACTGCCTCTTATGAAAGACTGCCTGTTGCACCATTTGGACCAACATTTGATAAAACTGTAACAGACACATCAACCAGGAGGACACAGAGGTCATCAAGTCCTCTGTATCTGAAGAAGATAGCATATGTTTTATAACTGAAGGTTATACATGAAGGGATTTCTGAAAGGGTCAGAGACATGTGACGTTACCTACAGGTTTTCTGAAGAGCTGTTGTAAAGCTCAAAGTGTGCTGGTTCTGGCCGTCATCTAATCCAAAAAAGAGCAAACACAAGGACCTGAGGTAGGCTGGATGAAGCCTGGTTACTGTAACAGCACCCACCTGTCTCTCAGCTTGGCCTTACTTATATATGACTTTAAGACTTTATATAATTTAAACAGGTGAGCTATATAAAAATTCACCCTCTGTGCAGTTGACATGAATGTAGAGTTTAGCTGTAAAGACCAAAATTGTTTTTTTTTGTACCAGGATGTAAACATGTTTATTTCTGTTGGGGATTTTAATATGAGGGTTTATGGAGACTTCTGTAGCCAGCGCCATGTGGCTGTTGAAGGAACTGCAATTTTTGGCTTCATTCATCTGCCAGACACTGAGGTTGCCAACTTTTTCGGACTTGATAGCTCATTGTACATAAATAAATAAATAGATTATAATGAGTCAGCTACTAGAATTGAATTTATCTGGGAAGGGAGAAAGCTTTTAGACCAGTTGTTCCCAGCCTGGGATCTGGACCTCTCAAGGGGTCTCAAACACTTCTACACAAAACAATGTATATGTGACAAACAACAGTTTTCTATGAATAAAAACAGTTAAAACAAGACAATTTGATATTAAAAATGTCCAAATTAATAGAACATTTTACAGATTGTTTCCAAGTATCTTCAAAATATGTGTGTGTTTTATTTCTGACAACTAAACTCATACAACACTCAGGATTATCCACAATATTTTAATGTTTAGTTTCACTGACAAAACGACCAAGACAGCACGTCAAGAGATGACACCATCTGAAAGACTCCAGCCCAGAGTTCAGCTTATAGGAGCAATTTCCATAAAAGCACACAGCTAGTATTTAGCAACAAAGTGAGGATATTTACAGTCGTCCTTTGTTTCCAGGGTCTGCTTTTCAGTCTTCATTGACCAGATGCCAGATTCAATTCCACACTTCTCGGGATCACATGTTTGGTGCTTAGTGATATCTCAGGATTTCAGACTGTCCCTGGAGGATCCAGATACAGGGCATGAAAATGACCATGAGCCAAAGCTAACCGTGGCTTGGCACTGCAGGGCGAACTTGAGCAGCAGCAGCAGCAGCAGCAGCAGCAGCAGCAGCAAACTAATCCAGGATAATTTGCTCTTTTTTTTGCCTATGAATAAAGGAGACTCAATATGCTGAAAAGAATTAGGTCTAAGTTTTCATCCAGCGTGATTTCTGACACACCATGCAAATTTGGATGTGGAGTCTCTCCCCTCTCATGTTCATCCCAACCCTAAAACTTCCCTGATCATAATATATTTATTTATTATAACAAATATGTTTAAGAAAGTAAATGGAAGGTACAATCAAGGCTTATACAGTATAATAAAAGAAAAAAAAAGGGGGAGGAATAGTAAAAATTTGATTTGCAATTCTAACATTTTATTAAAAAACAACATTTGTGAGTAATTTGCAAATACGTGTGGAGCAATTCCAAATGGATGGTTTCGTTTAATAATAAAAAGCCATATTAGGTATAAAGACTATTCATTGTCTAAGGTTATTTACTACTTTGTGGCTTCTCTTCAGATAAAGCACTTGCGAAAGAGATGAGTTGTTCCTCCTTCTACCAATAGATAATTATCAGCTGTTTATAAAGCTGTTGCATATGGTCTGTCTTACTTAATAAAAAGAAATTAAATAGAATTAAAACCACAAACTATTTGAATCAGTGGTTCCCAGCCTGGTGTTCGGGGGCCCCCACTGGGGGTTGCCTAAGCTTTAAGGGAGGGTATCGAGGCCTTCTTGATTTTAAGGGGGTGAAAAACAAAAAACTATATTCACAGAGCCTTCACTCTCTGATAAACGGCCTCATCCTGCTTTAGAAAAGTTCAAACAACAGAACAATGGACAAACGTCAAGAAAACACTGAATTTATCAAAAAAAGTCTTTATCTAAAGTCTATTGAAGTCTGTTAAGTATTCATGATCGTTAAATATTAATACAGACAGAGAATTGTATTAAAAAAAGTCCCTCAGAAAAAAACTCATCAATATTTATATTAAATATCCACAAAATATGTCGGTTTAGTCAGTGATTGCCCAGTGATAACGCAGATTAGAAATACAATAACAAACATATTCAACACACTATTTATTCCACGTTCTGTTAATATTATTATATCATTATTATGTTGCCTACTTTTTCTTGAAAACATAAGCTTCTAATTTTACACGCAATAATAAAATAAAAGTGAGTCTTTAACCATCATAAGCACAAGTTAAAGATGAAATAACACAAACAAATGAAAACTCCTCTGTGGCCTTTGACACCTAGTAAGATGTCGACTTTATTTACTAGATTTATTTTTTTTGTATTTGTTATATTTTACTTTTTGATTGCTCGTTATTGCATGGTTATTATTTTTATCTATGTCTTTTCATTTTATTGTTGCAGTATATGTTATTTTGCGCCTCATGTGAGCTGTTATGTCTTTTGTTTATTCTCCTGTACAGCACTTTGGTTGTTTTAAAGTGCTTAACAAATAAAGTTGGATTGGATAATCTTCACACATGGACGTCATCCGGGGGGGAGGGAGGGGAGGGAGGGGAGGGAGGGAGAGAGAGGGGAGGGGAGGGGGGGGAGGGGGGGTATTGTTACATCACATTCAAGCGTCCCTACTAGCAAACAACAAAAAAAAAAAAAAACCGTGCCGTCATCCAGCTGCGTCGCTCAGTCTCTCTCCAGTCGGTGGAGAGTCCGGAGACGAACAAACCTCTGGCGGTAGTCGGTAGTTGAGGAGGCTGTGGACGCCAAAATCACCCCACAACCGACACGCTGTTTGCGGTCAGTGGACGTGTCCCTCCCCCCCTCCTCCCTCCCTCCCTCCGGTGGTGGTCGGACGCCGTCGGATGTCGCTCAGCCGAGGAACAGCGTCCATTAGTCGGCCAGCTCTCCCGTGTGTGTGTGTGTGAGCGAGCAGCTAACGTTAGCGGTGTTTGTACGAGCCAGCTAACATTTACACGAACTTGGTTTGTAGATGTGAGAAGAAGAAGAAGAGGAGGAAGAGGAGGAAGAGGAGGGTTAGTTAGCTGCCCCTTGCTAACGCGTTAGCTTGTGGTACAAACACTGCTGGCTGGTGGGAAACCGGAGCAGGAGTATTTAACCTCGTCGGACCCTGTAGCGTTAGCTCTGAAAGGATAGCTCGGGCTTTTTCCTTCTTTTCTTTTTTTTTTGTGTTTTTGTTTTTTTGGATACTCGAGCAGACACAGAACAACAAACAAACAGAAAAACAAGAGGGGGGATCGCCGGAGAGGCCCTGTTGTCTTTGTTCGTCTCCACATTTGGCAGGTAAACGGCGGCGCACAGTCTCGGAGATGCGGGTTTGGTGTTTGTGGTGATGGACCGGTGGAAGTCGGCCCTAGCATTAGCACGCAGCTAACCAAGAGCTAGTTAGCTGCGTTAGTTAGCATTGCTAACGCGAGTCAAACTTGTGTTGATGTGGAGTTTGTCCGCGGTGTGAAGTGAAGTTGACGGTGTCCGCAATCTCTCTCTGTTTGGTGGCCTGTTGTTTTTTTTATGTTTTATGTTTTTTTTTTTTATGCTCGCTCAGTTGATTTAACCTTTTTTTTTTAAATATAAATTTTATAAGCTGCAAAGTGCGAGGAGGAGTTCAATCCGCATGCAACACGTCTACTGTGTGATGAGCACAAACTTTACTTTATGTATCTCGGTCTGTAGGTGCAGTGTAAGGACCTGAACAATCACTTGTTCCTCTCATATTCAAATATGTCCTCCATGCGAAGGTAACTTGTGCCTCACTTCTGTTGGGTTCAGTTAAATCCAGATGTTCATGTGGGCACACGGATGACAGGAATTCACAGGGCAACTGTTTATAGTCTGCTTATACATTTAGGCTGCTAAAATGTTGGAGAACACAGGAGCAATTGTACTCTCAGAGCAGGCAGTCCTTGTAGTAAAGGTGGATTGTAAGCCGGGTCTAACAATCTGTCCCCTGTCTATACTCGGTTGTCAGGTACACATAGCCTCAACAGATCTCAAGCAAAAATCTTCCTCATGAAGGTTATTATGTCCAGTTTTGGGTTGAGAGATGTGGTGATTCCACATTTTCTTTGTTTTCTTTGTTTGTATGCTGTTGAATTTCCTGATGTCGTACTGAGAGGTGTTTATAATGTCTAGCATACAGTAGTATTTCAGTTTTAAGTCTGCACCTATGTCACTGCACAGCCACGTCTTTATCGACAAATCTGTAACTTCTGTAACGACTGAGTTAGCTCAACAGTGAGGGACAGAAAGTGTTCAGTGTTTGTTGACTATCTAATAACATGACTTTTGAGTTGTAGACACACCTGCACACATGACTTATGAGAAACTTGGTTAAGGTGTTTACATGCCAACACTTTACTGATTTCTATCGCAGGACTCCAGGTGGCGTTCAGCTTTTTCAAAACTTTATCTGATACCAATATATGATGTCTGCATATACACGTAACCGTGATAGTGGTCGAATGCGCTCACTTTCAACCCGAGTTTGACCCCAGCCCAGGTTAACCAGATCCGTGGGCGTGTATTCACACAGACTGTTCCTCACACATCGCATTACTACGTTCTCGTTTGACCATTTGGTGTCTTTCTCTCGTGCAGTTTTTTCCGTTGTTGATGCCGATATTTAGAGAGCAGGGCTGCTGATGGCTGATATATAATGCAGATGTCAAAACAAAGAAAAGTCATGTGTAATTCTATTATATTCTGTAGGAAATTCAGGCGTTTGTTTACAGCAGGATGTATTCGAGTTATAGTACAGGGCTTGAAACCAACTTTTTCCCCACCTTCTTACAACATTATTTAACTGCCACCACAGTGACAATGCTGCCTGTAGACACTTGTTGTTTATCAGCCTCGATTAATCGGCCTGTCACTACTGTTTTTCTAGTCTGGAAGTCAGTTAAATGTAATTTAAACAGCAATAACATTAAAATTAAAAGCCCAATCTATGTTAAACCAAGGTCAGGAGGAGGGTTGTGAAGGCAGGTTGATATGACGCACACTGACCGATTCAGATGCACAGCCAACACCGGGTTTAACCTTCATCACTGTGTCTGTTTGACAGGAGTTGTACACTTGTAGCTCTTATTTCCTGTCCAGAAGAGTACTGCTGTTCATCCGTGCTACATGCTAGTTAAGTGCATTCTTGACCTCTCAGGTCTGACTGAAACATCTGTCTCTTGGTCCACAAGTCAAGACTGAAAACCTAGATCAAGGACTGAACTTTCTCTGCGTATGTGTCATGAGCTGTGAACCTATGATATCAAACAAAGATCATACAGGAAACACCCAGTATACCACAATAATTTAAGTCTTCAATAGATGAGAAGTTTGTTAAGAATCGTCTCCTACAAACCTGTTAATCTGGTGGTAGAGGACAATAAGCAGGAGTTGAAAACATTGTTGTCTCCTTTGTATTTGAGGTTCTATTTCTGAATTGTCACATTTGGGTGAAAATGCTTTTATGTAATTTCCATGCCCCCCCCTCAGTGACACATTAAGATACATTTGGGATACCTTTGCATTGCCATAGTGTTAGAAACTCTGACAAGTAGTTTTCAGTACGACAGGAGCAGCACGGTAAAATGTAGCCTTTAATGATCAGTATGAAAGCTGTGATAAGAAAAAGAAGGAAAGGAAAGAGTAATCGATGATGCCTTTTCTGTCAGTTGTATTTTGTATTTTGGGCACTGTCTTCAAGGACAATGTCAGATAAGAGTCTTGTCTTGACACAACATCCTCGAGGTGTGAAATTGTTGAAACGTTTTATATCGCATGGATTACAAAAGTGCAACAGCAAAGGTGCTTTTCTTTTCTTTTTTGCACAAGATGCACGTGATGCACAGAGCCTAACCACAGAATCTAACTGTTTACACACAATCAATAGACACATACTTTACTGTTAACTTGTATAATAAGATCTACAGATACTCCAACAAGGCTTTACTTTAGTAGATAATTTAAAACAACTTTCTTTATGAAGAGTTGAACACAAAAATGATGTGTTATTTCCACATCTCTCTGACACACTCCCAACAAAAAGTTGAACACACAAAGCTTAAAGGTAAGATTTATTCCAGTGTTGTATTGATTCACATTAGGTTGTATGGGAGTTATTAGTTGTTCTGTTATTTCAGTGTACATTTTCAGCAACCTACTACCAAGAGGTGCTTTGGGAGGCATTTGTATAACGGATTAAGTAGTGTGGACAACCAGCAACATTTGCAGGTTTCCACTTACTATTGGAAGTCTGGCATAGTTTGTTCAAGTTTGCTATTGTGCTATTTATCTGCTCTGACAACCTACCACACTTCTGTTACAAACACAACCATATTGACTATTCATCAAAAGGGAGAAAAAAAAACTTGTTTATTTGACTTGAAAGCCAACAAAAAAGAAGCTCTTTGTTTTCTTCAGTTCAGCTTGTTCACTTTTGCCCGGATGAAGCAGAAATGTTTTGAAAGCTCATCTGGAAACAAAACAAACCTAATGAGACTACGCATCAGTAGGGTTGGGACCTGTGTGACTGCAGCTTCTATGATAATTTGAAGGTAAACATGCAAATCTATAGTAAGCGTAGGGACTATTTGCTGTTTATTTGATGTCCGATATGACTAGTTTCTTCACTTGTGCCCTCATGGTATGTACCCTCCAATTACTCACTACTCCTGGTCTGGTCATCGTCCAGTAATTGATCATTTTTCATCCTAGTGTGATGCGAATGTTTTACAGCTAAGATTTTCCAAGATTGAGGACTGATTACAGATTGTACGGCTTCTGTTGTGGTGCACAATGCCACCGTCATTAAAAAGCCAGCCCTCACAACAGACGAGCTCGACAAATAATAGGCATATATGGACATTTTGAAAAGGGGGATTGATGATTTGGTGATTTCTTGCCTTTTAACAGGTTGCTGTTTGGCAGCTCTCCCTGAAATACTGTTGGAAGAAGCAGTTTACTGTCTACAAGCCAAGCAATTGCAGGTTCTTTTTGTTACCCACAACTGTTATTTAGAGTAAAAATGCCCTCTTTGTATCCCCATGAAAGTGCTTACAACATGAGCAATTATTGAACCCTTCAGTTCAATTTTTGATGGCGTTTGGGACATGTGCTCCAATGGCATATTTTCAGTTCTCATGGATCAGTGTGATGAAATACCATTTTTCTGGCTGTGACTATTGCTGCAAGGCCTTGGAGAGTGAGAGATGAGCGGTATCTTAGACTTTGTTTGCAAAAAAGTTTCACATTCCCACACTCCTGGCTGTTGCTGTGTAACTGACCCCAGGCCTTCCTAAACCATTCTCATCTGGACAGTGAGGTTTCCTTGCTTTGAAGCCCATTATTCACAAAACATGAAGCGCGGTGTACAAATGAGATTGTTTACTAAGGCAGGCCTGGTCATTTTTAGTGCAAGGCCACTTGATACATAAACATTTATTGGGGCATGACATAGAAAATGTAGGGCACCAAGGCCAAAACTACCCAACAATGTAAAAGATTAGAACACATTAATGCAGCAGTAATATTAATCTGAACACATCAGATATATTATAGTAAGACACTGACAGGGACCATTTTACTGCACATTGAGTATGTATTCAGCATTTTTCAGCATAATACTTACATACTTTTACCTTTTTACTAAAGTTTAGAATGCAAAACTTTTACTTGTAGAGAAGTATTTTCACAGGGTTGGTATTAGGGCTTTTTGCTAATGGACCTAAATACTTTTTCTACCTCTGGTTAGCACACCCACAGCCTACCTGCACCTGTGTGTTACTGGCTGAGCCTTCCTCTTTAGGAAAGGTGGACATGTTTTTGTTGTTGGCAACAAATGAGTAGTTGTTTCTGATGCTCCAGGACAAGATCTTTCCCACTACTGCACCCCCTGTCTGTTTTATTCCAATTAATAACAACATTTTGCAATGTAAAGTATTTTTCATGTAAACTAAATGTGTCATAACTGTTAAGTGGCGTTCAGTTTTCAAGAGACAAACCAGGACAACTTTGGCAGGATCTTGAATGACTCGATGTGGAGAACACTGTTACAGCAGGGAGCTTTTTAATGAGGTGCAGCATGTACAGTTTCTACATAAAGCATCGTCTTCATCAGAATAAGAAGAGGCGGTGGCAGTGTAGACTTTTAGATTCCCTGCCATACATTGAGAAATACCCCATGTCCACAAGGATGGCAAAAGAGGAACCGGGACATTTGGATAATGAGTGATTCATGACATGATTCATGATTTGATGAGCATCCACATCTTAAGAGGAGAAAAAAAGAA